TGGACTCAGATCAATCTGGAAGGACCTATTTATATATGCCTGATCCAGATATGATTACCCAAGGTGAATCAGGATCAAGTAAACAAGGTAAGTATTCGGCGGTATAAAGCCAGATTCGAAGATAAGCAGATGTGGGAAATAAATATGTGGATCCAGGTGGTAAAGGATGAGACAAATCAGGATCAAGGACTTAGGAATAACAGAGAATCGAATTTGCATCATTGGGCACAAGTGGTTTGTTTCTTTATGTGATCCACACTTAGTGTACTACGGACACCTCGGATCAAGGCATATACTGGTTCTATATGGTGATCCCGCAGAAGGAATATTGTATTTAGTGTAGTTTGGATAACTGGATAATATATTGGCCAGATCCAGCTACCTAATACTTATTCTATTACTGCTTGGTCGTCGATCCTTCGATCTCTCCACTACAACTCAAGATCCAGTCATTGGTGACTGCAAGCAAGCAAAGGGATCGCAAGATCAACAACAACAAAGGTCTAAAGGACAACACACCAAGGCAACCCAACACGGCCCGGATCAAGATCCGGCCACCGGCGATCTGCACTCGAATATTCGTGCAGACCCCGGATCCCCACTACCGACAGCAAAGCGAAGACTTCCGCGCTGCTGATCACATCCCTGCGCCCCGCCAAGACGCCCAATCTTCATTCACTTGGATCTCTCCTGCAGTTACCGGAGGAACAAGATCCAGCCCTACCGACGGGTACACCAGGGTACACACGGTGAGGAAGTTCAGCTGATCACGGATCAATAGGAGTACCCCCTCCTATAGCGGTGTTCTGGGCACAGTGGCAAGCCGGTTCTAGTACTCTCAAGAATTTTGGTGTTCCCGCTCCTCTACAATGGTTAGCGTTCCCGGGATTCGAACTAGGGATTTCACCGTGGGTCTCAAGAAGAAGTTCAAGTGAAGACTGAACAAGGGAACGAGATGTCATCGGATGCCAGATCGACGACGACATCGCTGAACGCTAGATCTGCGGATCGGCAGAGTGCCAGCAGGAACTCCGTCGACGGAAGTGAGGCCGATCTGGATCCCGATCCAGATCTGGAAGAGAAACCTCATCCTCCACAGGTCTCCGGCAAGGAGACCCCTGCGGATCCTGACTCGAGTCAAGATCCGCTAACAAAACAAGCTAAAGTGAAGGCTGAACCGTATTCTTTCATCGATCCGGATAAGCCAACACTATATATACCCAAAGACACGCAAGTCTCTGGATCTGAGGTTGGGAGGCCAAGATCCAAGACTGTGCAGTAGAAGATGAAAGCTCCAGATGACGAGGAAGACAAAGATCACCCCGGATCTGCTGGTCGGAAGAAGATCTGAAGTCCATGTATCACCGAAAGGAGCTACGTGACTTCAATCCGGGCACGCGCACCATTGTGGTGGAGTGGATCCGACTTACCACTGTGCCCAGGACACCGACTAAAGGAGGGGATACTCCTATGATCCGTGATAAACTGAACTTCCTCGCCTTGTGTATCCGTCGGTAGGACTGGATCTGCTCCTCCGGTAACTGCAGGAGAGATCCAAGTGAATGAAGATTGGGCGTCTTGGCGGGGCGCAGGGATGTGATCAGCAGCGCGGAAGTCTTCGCTCTGCTGTCGGTAGTGGGGATCCGGGGTCTGCACGAATATTCGAGTGCAGATCGCCGGTGGCCGGATCTTGATCCGGGCCGTGTTGGGTTGCCTTGGTGTGTTGTCCTTTAGACCTTTGTTGTTGTTGATCTTGCGATCCCTTTGCTTGCTTGCAGTCACCAATGACTGGATCTTGAGTTGTAGTGGAGAGATCGAAGGATCGACGACCAAGCAATAAATGTCGAAGATCCGAAGTTTGCACGTATAAAGTAACTCACTAGGTAGTCGGATCTGGCCAATATATTATCCAACTATCCAAACTAACGCTAGATCCTATACTCTTAACACGCGGATGGCCTTGTGGGATAGATATAATAACCCGATCCGAAGTGTCCGTAATACACTAAGTGTGGATCAAATAAAGAAACCAACCACTTGTGCCCAATGATGCAAATTCGATTCTCTGTTATTCCTAAGTCCTATATCATAGCCTGTCTTACCTTTACCACCCGGGATCCGCATGTCTGATAACTGCTTCTGTGGGGGCAGCTGCTATATCTCAGGATCTGCGCGTAATCGTCCGGTGTCGACACTCCACTGTCGGATCCGCCGGATCCGAGTCCTCGCTTGACCTTCTTGATCGTCACCCAAACCTTGTGATCTGTACTCTCCAGAGGTCTCTCAATATGTACATGCCCAGGATCCGGCATGATCTTGAAGTTTCATTGCGGATCTGGCTCCGCGTACCCACAAACTTTAGGAGTACCCTCCAACTTTCCCCACCTGAGGATCCGGGCCTTCCCCTTCCGGATCCTCGGTAATGCCTTGATGTCCATATCTCCCAGGTATATATCTACGTATATCCATAGCCATCACTTGCCGTCAACTCCATGCAGGATCCGGATCGTCCAGATCCGGATAGGTAGACATAATTATCTGGTTGCCTTTCCGTCAATCAAACACTTCGTCTTATTCACGTGAAATTCTCGATCCACTTCACCACATGGACCAGGATTCAGTGATGCGGATCCGGAAGCTCAAGCAGATTGCGGATCCAAAGAACCCTCTGACCGCCCCCGCCGCACTGACCAACAGATTGGACGCAGCGATAAAGCTGATCCGGCTGTTGAAAGAGGCCGGTATGATCCCGGAATCATTCAACGCAGAGAACTGTTTGACTTGGATCTTGATGTGACCCAAACTACCAGTCGCGATCTCTTCCAGACGTTGAAGATCCTTGTCGGCGAGGTTCCCCAGAGCCCGGATCCACTGCCATTGACCACGACCGATGCCGTCGATAGCTTGACATTGTCATCACATTATGCGTCTGCCGCGGAAGATGGATCTGACACTTCCTCGGAGCCACCGCGACGGATATCCCTAGAACCCTCTGGAGCATCAATGCTGGAGTCGAGATCCAAGATCCGCCGCTCTAGTCCGGCCAAAAGCAGTCACCACGATAATGGATCCGCATCAACGGATCATGCCACGGTCATCGAGAGTTCAGATCGATCAGTCGGTACCTTGCAGAAGTTCTTCAATGCTGCAATGGACCGATACCTGGCCAAAGAACGTGAGACAAACAAAGATCCAGCTTCTACACGTCCACAACATCAAGGATCACAAGACGTCGAGATGGAGTCCATTCGATCTTCCGATCATGGATCTCGCTGGAAATATGACTCGGACAATGTAGACTTTCCCACCTCGGCTCAAGCCACCGTTCCACCGCTGCTGCTGTATCCACAGGTTCCACTACGACACAGCGTGTACGGATCTCCGCGATCTCGGATCTCAAAGAGTTCACTGACAAGGATCAGGACGAGGATCGAGCCCGAGCGTGGATCAGCAAGGTCAAGTCGGCGTTTAAGCGGGATCAAGCATCGGATGACGAAAAATGCTTGACCTTCGTAGATCTCCTCGCTGGATCCGCGAAGAACTGGTATCGTCAACGGCGTAGATCCACTCGCAACTACTGGAGTGATCTACTACGAGGTTTCCAGATCCAGTACGGCGGACTTGGAGTATCGGTAGCAACACAATACTACCATACGCGACCAAGATCCGATGCGTCACCACTAGATTACTTGTATCGACTCAATGTGGCGGGACTCCGCGCGAAACCGAAGATCAAGGATGGCAGCGCGAAGGGACGACGTCAACATGTGGATCATTACATCGAGACGCTTGAGGATCAAGATCTAGCGGAACGATTAAACTTACTGCGGTTAACCGACGCGGAAGATCTTGAAGAAGTCTTTGGCGCTCGGGATCGCGCTAAGAATCATCAAAAGAAGGCCGCGTTCGGATCCAGCAAGTCCCGACAGAAGCCAACCAACACCGCCCCCTCTGCTCCTGCGTGCGATCCAGATCCTAGATAACGACTCTGGATCCGGCTGTGAGTCTGACGGATCGGCCGGATCTGACTCGGACATCGACAGTCATAGCAGGATCTTCCTTGCAGCAAACGAAGACGCCACCCCGAAGATAGAGAAAGAGTCGATGAACCTGGATCCACGACTTCCAGACCGTGATCACAACCATCAAGATCACAACTCGAAGATCCACGGTATTGGGTTTAACCGTGATCGGTGCTCACACTGTGGATCCAGAAAGTACTTGGATCTTGGATGCTGGAGGCCTAGTAAGATCTCGGAGCACCAACGGTAAACGATTATGGATTTACTATCGGGGGAGTCCCGTGGTTACCGGAAGGATCATTCTCCAGGTAAATGGTTTCGTCAAGCGAAGATCACAGGCAAGATCCACAATGAGAAAGCGATCTTAGTCTTAGATACCGGTGCCGAGGTGTCCATCGTGGACACCGCCTTTGCTCGTAAGGTTGGGTGCTATATCGACTCGAGTCAGATCCAGGACTGTGTGGGAATTGGTGATAATGTGTACCAGACGGAAGGAAGAACCCGGATCAAGGTGACTCTCGCCGGATCACTGGTATATTTCTTCGATATTTGAGTGGGTGATCTGACTGGCCAACATGCTATACTCGGTATAGATTTCATGGTTCCAGCCGGGATCCGCCTTGATCTAGCCCATGGATCGGTCGGATGAAGTCCGGATCCAGCTTAGCGGGAGGCGGCAGCTTTATAGCGATAAGGCGAAGATCGTCAACGTTGGCCAATACCTTCAGATCCAAGTAGGAGAATCGGTAGAACTGCCATTGCGCCTGAGGTCGTCGATCCACGACAAGCTGTGGGTCACGCGTGGGGAGCGTTGAGGGCCGACAATATCCGATGGATCAGGCAGGACGAAATATATATCGATCACCAACATAGGAGACGAGGTGTTGATCCTGCATTAAGACCAACGGATCGTGATCTGGCTAGCCGGAGCCATGGCCACGGATACCGGGTTTTATCTCGATCGGTTCCCGTCGTTACATGGAATGGGAGAATCTAGCTTTTGAAGCCACGCCAGACGGTGGATCCGAAGACATGGAGATCAAGATCCCGCTTACACCCGCGGTGGAGCGACACAAGTACGAAGCTCCACGCGCAATGCTCCAAAGGCCGAAGACGACGTTGATCCAGTGTCGTAAGGTCAAGGCGAGTCAGGGTCAAGATATTCCTGACCACCTACCTTTGGACAAATCGCCGTCGGATAAGTCGCCATCAGACAAATCGCCGTCGGAGATTCAACTGTTGGATCTAGCGTCTGTCGCAAGTGAGGAGTCGGATCTGTCGTCTATCGCAGACGAAGACTCTATGCCGCATGCCGTAACGGTCAAGGAGGCGCTAGAAGATCTCGATCAAGTAACGTCAGACGTGTGGGCGACTAATCCGTCATTGGAGGAAACCACAGGCGTAGTGGAAACGCGAGAAGAGGAGGGACGAGACGGAATTGAGGTTGTCAGTCAGGATCAACTACATTCGAGAGGTCAAGATCAAGGAATATCACCGTCGGAAAGCGGCGGATTGGATCTGCTATCAATGATGAGTGTACAATCTGGGACGGGACATGTGGCCGGTGATCCTTTTAACGACAAATGCGCCGCATCTATGACGCAGAAAACGGGCATGGATCCACCACCTGTTGTTGAAGATCAACCAGGCACATCGGATCTGGACCTCACCTGGGGCTCAGATCAAGCTTATGATGAATGTGTATACTACCATGAAGGAAGTGATCTATACGCGGAAGATGTAGATGGTCAGATGGCGGTACTGCCAGGAGTGCCTATGACGACAGAAGATGTGAAAATCGAGGAGATTCATCTATGTAAATCTGATAATCAGACCTCAGAAGAAATTGATCGACTTCGCCAAAGAATCTGGCAGTTCCGACATCTCTTGAGCGGCAAGGGAAATGTCCTTCCGCCGGTGGCTAGAGATGTAGTGTGCGATATTGACGTCGGAGGAGCGAGGCTTATCGCCCTGAAGTGTCGTAAGTTGCGAATCCAGTTCAGGGAGAAGCTGGCAGCCTTGATCAAGGGTCTTGACACGAAGTGATTTGGAATTTCTCAGGGAGACAAGAATTTGTATGGAATTGTGGATTAGGAAATGGGTACAGGATCGCCAAGAGTGAATGTGTGAATGTGTGGATAGAAAAGTGACTGTGGAATGTGTGAAAAGTGATTGACCTGGAGAAGAGCTAAGGATGGGCCTTAGAGTCTGGAAGCATTATGATGCTCAGTCCAGACTCACCCTCGTCCTGACTACGGGTACCTATGATTGTGAAAAGTGTTGATGTGAACGTATTGCATCGAACGCCCCGTATTGCCTTAGTTTAACCCAGAAAACGCCAGTCCCAAGCTCAAGAACGATACCAAATAAGGACTATTTGTGCACAAAACTCACGATCCAAGAAGATGTGGACGACAGATGGAGTAGTGACGTGTTCTACAAGTAGTGTGGAGCATTGTATCTCAGAGCCCGACCAAATATCCCATAATCTCGTGACTAATTCCCTGAATCCCAACCGATAACCCCTGAATCCCGAGGGAAATCCCTGAGTCCAGACGTCAAAGTGTCAAGAACCAAGTATATCTGATTATGTGAAGACATTACGATACGGATTCAAAGATTCTATGATGAAACAAGATAGTATCAAGAGATTCGAGTCTATTACGATGGAGTACATGTAACGATATGTTATGGAATACATTCTGAAGTCAGAGACCCGAGCTAAAGTGTAACGCGATCAAGTGGTGACAAATCAGAGTGAAGTGAGGTGATGTGCCTCGTTTCTGATGATGTCACGCGAAGAGATA